TTTCAGATGTCAGCTGGGACATAGAAGGCCCTGCTTCATGACTGACAGTACAGCTCAGAACCACCCCTTGTCCTTCATCGTTCAATGGAGATTTTTCTCCTGCCTTTCACTGTTTGTCACAAGCAGGTCTGGAAATTGAAGCCAAGTCTGAGCAATGAGGCTCTGGAGATTATCTGGTTCAGCACAGAACAGCAGGAGGGCAAAGGATGGGGCTGCAGGGTCATGCCGATCCAGAATTCAATCCCCAGAATCCACATAGTGGAAGGATATAACTGACTCCCACAATAAATAAACAAATGAATTAGAACACACAATAAATAAATCCAATTAAAAATTAAATATAGACTAGTGTGGCCTACTTTTTTCTTTTACCATTGAATTTATAAATTCCATGTCCCTTTACTGGGTGAGATAGCTTGGGCCCCAAAAGGGTCACCAGGGGTGTCCTCTGGTTACTCTTTAGAAAGGGACATGGACCTCAGGGAAGTAAAGCACTATTGACAGACAGCTGGCAAGATACGGATCCAAGACTTTGCTATCCCACACAGAATGGAGTAGTTTATGTAAAGCAGGACATGTACTGTAGAATGTCTGTTAAATGGAGCAAGTCAGAGGTCACCAGTTCTACTCCAGAAACAGGAACTCTGTTTAAGCTCCAGAAGTGAGTGTTTGAGAAGCAGCTATCACAGTCAAAGGCAAACCTAATTCAAATACATTCCGAAAAGTGAGGAGCCTTCTAGAAGAGACCCAAAAGCTGCTGCCCTGCAGGCAAAGTGGCAGAAGGCAGCAGGGCCAAGGGCAGGAGCGAGAGGCTCTACCCAGAGCCCTGGGATAGGGCAGTGTTAAGCCAACTTTCCATCAGAGATAAGCAACTTCTGAAGGGGTGTGTATTTGGCTCGGAGGGTCCCTCAGCCCCTCCTGAGTTGGCTCTACTGCCTCTGGATCCACATGAGACTGGATCCATGGCAGGGAGCATGTGGCAGAACAAAGTGGCTTATACAATGGCAAACAATGGAGATGTGGACCAGAAAAGGAGGGGGGGAGGAAAAAGGGAAAAAAGGCAGGGATAAGATGTACCCTTCAAAAGCATGCCCCCTCCCCATGACCTACTTTCTCCAACCAGGCTCCATCTTCCTGGCTCTACCATCTCTCAATGATGTCATCAAATTCTTAGTCCATCTGTGGGCTAGTCATCTATCTACCAGGAACCCTCAGAATCCAAACCTGCCATGATGACTGGATCTACTAGCTGGAGACCAGGCCCTTAGTTTTAGGGGTGTGGGTGTCACAATTTAAGAAAAGTAGCACTCAAGAGAAAGATGCCATGAGACAGGGTTCAAGCAGAGGGTTGGTTTTTTTGGGTTTTTTTTTTTTGTTTGTTTGTTTTGTTTTGTTTTTTGGGGGGGAGTGGGAAGATTGGCCTCTGAGGACAGGAGCAGTGGGGAGAGAAGAAATGTGGGAGAGAGGGAAGAGAGAGAAGGGGAAACAGACAGAGAGAAGGAGAGAAAGAGAGAGGAGGAGGATGGGAGGTGGGCGGGGCCCTTTTAAAAGGGAGCATAGTGAATGTGCACAGGTGATGCTCTTAGTGGCTGCAGATGAGGGTGCATCCTGTCAAAACCCCAAGGACAGGCCAGTACAGATGTCTGAATAATAACAGTGGATCACTACCATCCATCCTGACACAGAAAGGCTCTAAAATGGCTGGGGTAGAGCTGAGTGGCATCCTTCCAGGGCACCCTGGGCTTTTACAAGATATCCTGCAGTGACCCAATGAAGTCTCAAGCCATATAGATGGGTAGAAAAAAAATCAGGCCATAGAATATCAAGAGGTAGGACTGGAGAGAAAAAACAATCCAGTAACTACCACAAGGCATAAAGAGCTCTGTCATCAGAAAGCAGGGCTCAGCTGACAGACCAGAGGCCACAAGGTCTCCCCAAACCCTATGCCCTATTGCACCCTCAAAATATGGAGGACAGAAATTGACTCTAACCAGAGGCTCTGTGGGCACAGCCCTGCCTGACTATATCAGGATGGACTGAGCCACGATGAAGCAGACAGGAAAACATGAGCACTGTCTTCTGAGCACAGCCATACATCACATCTGCACACGGACTTAGGAAGTGCAAAGACACAAGAAGATGTAACTTGTTGAGAGTAAAATTCAATAAAAGCCAGATGAGGACAGCCCAGCTCTGGGAAATAGATAGAGACCTTGAAATTATAAACACACCAGGTGGCCTAAAAGAAAGGATAGATGCTATACGGGAATAGATGAAGAATCTCAACAGAAAGATAAAAATACAAAAAAGAACCATGGCAGTTCTACCAACGAAAACCCAAACCCACAGATACAGCACAGCACCACATAAATCTATGCTAGGGTTTAGCAGTAGGTGGGATACACCAAGGGAAAGAGACAGGGTTCATTGGGGCAAGTCAATGTGGAAACAAAAGGAAACTGACATATATGAAGCAATAAGTTTAATGCATCCATGATTGGAAATCTAAGCGGGAAACATATGAAGAAATACTTGAGAAAGAAATGGCTGAAATTTTTCCCAAACTGAAATATCAAATCACTGATAAAAGAAGTCCAGAAAGGATAAGAATGCAGAAACATCAACCATGCTTCCCCATGTGAGGTTGCCCAAGTTTCAGTTACTCACCAACTGCAGTCTGAAAATATTAACTAGAAGACCAGTGATACACAGTTCATTAGTTCAAGTGATGCTCCACTCTCAACAGACCCTCCCACCCACCCCACCCCACCCCTGAACTGTAATGTGGATTCTCCCATCTCTAAGTGTTCCCACAATAGTTTCTACCTTCCCATTCGTCAGATCAGGTGCTAAGATATCACCATGCCTGTTCTGGACTGACCCTGTTTTACTATTGTCCCAGAAGCAGTGACCCCAGAGATTCACACTTGCCTTGGAGCAGCTTTCCCCGGAGAGATGGCAGAAATTATCAATGAGGAAAGAGCTGGATGGTGGTGGCACACGCCTTTAATCCCAGCATTCCGGAGGCAGAGGCTCAAGGATCTTGTAAGTTCAAGGCCAGCCTGATCTACAAGAGCTAGTTCCATGACAGCTAGGGCTCCACAGAGAAATCCTGTCTCAAAAAAACAGAAACAAGGAAGGAAGGAATAAAGGGAGAGAGGGAGAAAAAAGGAAGGAATAAAGGGAGGGACGCAGTGTGGGAAGGAGGGAGTTATCTCGGCACAGTGGAAAAGTTGGGGGTCCCCTCGGGAACCAGGCTCTGCACACGGCCCTCCCTGAGGACAGTTCCCTCACAGGTTTCCTCTGGGAATAAGCCCATTTGGTTAATCCTTGGAGAGTACTGTGCCCATCCCCTTTCCAGGACCTGAGGAAACTATCCCTGTAAGTGTGTGCTCACCTTACCCGGCATACCTACTCTGGTGCACAATGTACAAGGCCCTATACAGGCAAGTCACCACCACATACCCAAGCCGAGGCTGAATCCACAAGGGCTGAGTGGCAAGGCAGCCTTAAGGAAGGCCACTGTTGTCAATGGTTCTGAGAGCATCCACCCACTTCTAGTTTAATTAGTCCCACAAACACACCTTTTCAAGTCACCAGAGGCTTCTTTTGCTGCTTTTGCTTCTGAAGGGACAAGCCAAGTTCAACTGCAAAGAAGTCTTTCTACATGGCAGATAGGCCACCTCCAGAAAGTGTTGATTTGGTCATTCCTGGTCACTGGCCACTCAAAGCAGACACGCTGAGGAAACATCTGGGAGATGGAGATATGACTCAGTGGTTAAGAGCACTAGCTGCTCTTCCAGAACAGAGTTCTGTCGGCAGTATCCCCATGATGGCCCACAACCATCTGAAATTCCAGCCACAAGGGATCCAATGTCGTCTTCTGGCCTCTGCAGGTACCAGGCATGCACATAGTGCACAGAACATGTGAAGTAAAATACCCACACACATGAAGTAAGTCAAGAAGACAACTGTCTGGGCACTAGTCCACTTTACCTCAAGGGGGCGCACCCAATACTTTTACTTTCTACACCTCTGGTTGCATGGCCTCCCTGACCCTCCCAAACCCTGCCTCAAAAACAAGACAAAATAAAGATTAAAAAAAAAACAAAAACAAAAACAAAAAAAAACCAAAAAACAGGAGGGGGGGTCAAGACAGGGTTTCACTGTGTAACAGCCCTACCTGTCCTCTGTAGACCAGGTTGGCCTCAGACTCACAGACATCCGCCTGTCTCAGCCTCCCATGCACCACCACCCGGCTGTCATTTTTAATTTTTTAGTGAAATATTTTTTAATGGACAGCTCTGTCTACCCTAAGATGATGAGATCATACTGCCTCTTAGCTTATAAATCCTTCCCTTCTATCCGCTCAAATATCTCTACTTCCCTTAACTTTCATTCAGTTCCCTGCCTGCACCATGTCCAGTGAGAGACACACTGTCTCCACTTTACACTGCGCTATGGGCGCACCACTCACAGAGAGGCCGCTCCCACTGTTCTCCTTCCTCGCTTTGGTAGTTTTCTCTCTCCAATGAAAAGCAACTCACAGGGATCCTGTGTTGGTTTCCCTGGGCTCTTATCCTCACTCCACCCCTGATGCACAACTGTAACTTCAACCTGCAGGCTAAGGAAGGAAGATCAGAAGTTCAAGGACAGCCTGGGCTACACAGCAAGACCTTCCTTGTCTCAAAATCTAAATAAAACAAAACCCTTATATTTAGAAATTCTGACCACAGAACCATGCAAGCCTGAGGCACTCTGCTTAAATGACTAGTGACACTCAAGAGAGTTGGTGACTTCAAATACCCCAGCAATGGGCCACTGTGTTCCTCTGAAGTTTTCCAGAAAGACCCTAGAGACGCCCACCCTCTCCAAAGGCCTGCTTAATGCCACCATGCGTAAGTTAAGTGAAACCCTTGAGGTTAGCTGTTCGTTAACTACCCTATTACACACACCATGACAAAATCATGTTTAACAGGCTGAAATGAGATCACACAGACTGTAGTAAAATCTTTTTAATAGTACTTTTAAGATTAACATGGAAAAACTACTCAACAATTTTTCTCTTATATGTGGTGCTCTGCTAGTCCAGAGACTAGGGGGAGACTGGTCAGGGTTCTCATCCTCAGATGTGCAAGGGATGGAGTACGAGCTGGGTCTCTGACAGCAGGTTAAGTGTGCCTTTTAAAGGCTATGCAGTGCACGGACTTCTGGCTAATGCAGCAGTCCTGTGCAGCCGACTGCTCTAACCTAGTTCTCCAGATGCCATGAATCCAGAGAGCTATGCTCTAGGCCCGCAAGCCTCCTTTCAGACAAGTGCACCCTGAAAAATATAATATCTTCATGGAAACAAAGTGAAAGTCAAAGAACTGGCAACTGGGAAAGGGAGTGAGTGGGCTCACTGTGACATCTAAGTCTGGAGCGGCGGGAGTGGTAGTCCAGTCTGACGTGCAGGAGTCAGCCTTGGTTCACCTCCAGGGGTTACGAGCCAAGGCGTCAAGGATGCAGCCTGGCTGCTGCATGCCGTCAATGGAGACTGCAGGTGCTGCTGCTGCTGATCCTCTGCCACCTTCCCATCTCTGTGCCAGGAGAAAGCCCAGAACTGGTCCTCCATTGCCCAAGCAGATGTCATGGGCACAGAGAGTGTGTGTGACAGGGAAAACCCAACAACAGCAGGGCTAGCCTCAGCAGCCTTTCTGAGCAATGTCCAGCCCTGAGGACTTTGTGATTTCCAACGTCGTAAATACCTGTTTACAAGGAAGAAGACAACATATGGTGATGTCACTGCTGCTTTACAAGGATGTGCTCCAGCTGCACTGACAGAACACATTAGGTTGCTAGTATAAAATATATTAGGATTTAAAAACTATGACAATGTGTTTCATAACTGCAAAGCTAGGCTACTTGAAGCCCATTCAAAGAACCTCACTGAGGTTTGGGGAGACTCGCAGTAGGTAAAGGGTTGGGAAGAAGCTTGGTGGGTAAAGAGCTACCCACGCAAGTGGAGGGCCCAAATCCAAGCCCCAAAACCCACGTTGAATGTGCTGGCACATGCTTGTAAAGTCTCTGTGCCATGGAGGCAGATATAAGTACATGCCAGGTCTTGTTGGCCAGCCAGCCTAGCCTATAGGCAAGCTTCAGGCCAGTGTGACACCCTGTCTCCAAAAGAGGTGAACAGTACCTAAGGAATGACATTCAAGGCTGTCCACTCAGTCATGCTTGCACACATGCACACAAACATACACACACCGTCCTGTTCCTTACCTCACCACATGTGGGATGGATTCCAATGGTGTCATTCAGTAGCTGCTTTGTGAGCCCACATTTCATAGCAGCTGCAAATCCCTGTGTGACTTCACCAGCATTTGGCCCCAGAAGGTGAAATCCCACCACACGCTCCTTTAATACAGGGACAGAACAGAGGATTCCCATAAGCCTAGGGCCAGAACGGAAATCTACTCCCTGCTGTTCACAGCTAAGATATACAGGGTCTCCCACAGGAAAGGAACTGAGCAGAGAACAGCTTCTCAAAGGAGCTGGGAAAGTGTGGTCAGAGCTAACTCACACTGTGATTTACTACTGCATTCTATCTGCCCTCCTAACCCCGTCCCCACAATGGAGCTTGTGGGTGGGATGTGACGTCTGGATTACGCTGAGACAGGGCCACACAAACACTGCACATATGAACTAAGGGCCTGCACTGAAGGACCCAAGGCATTGGGTCTTCCCAGAGGAGGGTTGGTGGGCCTAGTGAAGAGCGGCCTGCTCCTGACACCAGGCAGAGCTCAAGCAAGCCTCTGGCTCGCAGAGGCTGTCAGCAGGGCAGCACATGGTGGGTGTCCAGAGTAGCAGTGAGCCACAGGCTGTCCACTGACAAGCCTTTTCATCAGAGTCTGGCCTCCATTCTGATCCTCCATGAGGCCAGATGAAGGGAGTGTGCAAGCAGATGACAGAGCCAGGCACAGGACACATCTCAGCTCTGTTAGCACCTGCCTGTTACCCTCTGGCGTGCCTCTCCTCAGCACTCCACCCATGCCATACCCCCAGTGAAGCACATACAAACATGCACCATGCACAGTGATGGATGGTGGCCAGCGTTAGCCTTCACAGTTCTAAACCATCAGAGTTAAACTGTTGGTTCTGGGCAGTCATCTTCCCACTGCCTGACAGGAGCTGGGAACCGGCTCCTGCCTCAGCCTCTGCAATCAGTTGAGAGTTCGCTCCTGCCCCAATTCCATCGTTAAAGATGTCATAAAAATCTGACTGGCTGCATTCTATATATTCATATAAATCCAAGCTGCATTCTAAAACCACAGTGGGTGAGGCTGGGGGGGGGGGCAGTCTGGGGTAGAGAGTATGAGGCTTGGGGGGCAGCCTGGGGTAGAGGGTATGAGGCTTGTGGGGGGCAGCCTGGGGTAGAGGGTGTGCATTACACAAATGAAGCCCTGGGCCCACTCCCCAGAGAAAATGGAGTACAGTAGAGCAGAAGCCACAGCATCCAGGTATCTACATACATTGTCGAATTTGTTGCAGATTATCTTTGCATAACAGGTATTGTTGTCTCTGCCAGCGACTGTCCACTCCAGAGGCCAAAACAAGGTGTGATACACCTGGACCAGAAGGGAGAGGCTGGCATGAACACTGACTGTATGTAACCCACTCTTTGATATGCTATTTAGTCCCCCTCCCCAGCCTCCTCCCACACACACACACAAGGTGACAGATTAAACAGCTTGCAGCATTGGAAGCCCGAGGCCCCACCTGGAGCACATTGATGGCTGCATTGGAGCCAGGTTCCCACAATGCCAGTAACGTGTCCCTTCTGCTTTGGGCAGCCATTAGTCAGAGAAAGAAACAGCCTCCTGTTAGCAACACTCCATTTTCAAGCATTTATAGTGCTGCTGGCCCACGGTACCACACTAGTTCCTGTGTGGGCTGAGAAGGTAACAACTGAGACCCCACCTAGTGGCACGTCCACCCCAAACCCAGATCAGAAGACATGGAACTGTTCTGTCTTCCAAGACGAAGTGCATCACCTGTGCTACTGACCCAGCAGAGCCTAGCACCCACACACACACTTGGGACAGCCAAGTCTCTGGGGAGGATCCTCTGAGTCACTACACACGGGACAAGGGCCTTTTGTACTATACCTCCAAAGTCCCAATGCACACACCCTACTGCTCTCTCACCAAAGCTGTGTTATTTTATCACTTTGAAAGTGAGACAAATTCACTTCAAACTCTCCCAAATAGAAGGATGATTTCTCTAACTTAAGTTACAACATAAAAAGTAGCTTCAAGGAAGGATGGTTGATTCTGAAGGAGACATGGTCCTTACTTCCAGATTCTCTTTTTTATACACTTCAATGGCTTTCTCTTCAGACAGCCCACAGCAGCCATATTCCAGAGGTGTGAACACTGTTGTTGGGACGTTAATGTAATCACACTGGAAGAGAAACACACAACACTCCTATGACCTGCTTCCCAGAAAATTTCTACAACACGGATTCATAAAAGGCAGTGTCAGATCAAAAGGGACTTGGTCATTATGAGAGCCAACTGATGGAAGACTGGAGATGTCTAAATGTACTGCTGAATATGTGAGTGAATGTGCCCAAAATGTGCTCACTATTCCATTTGATGGGTGTGGGTACTCTCCTAAAAGGATGTTTGTATCCCACATGTGTATCTGATGCCTACAAAGGCTGTAACTGGAGTTACTGACAGTTGTGAGCTACCATGTGGGTGCTGGGAATTAAACCTGGGTCCTCTCCAAGAGCTGTAAGTGCTCTTGATTACTGAGCCAACTCTCCAGCCCTTGTGTCTGAATATTTTTCATGTGTATAGGTATGTGTATTAGTGTGTGAATGTGTGTGCTCACATGTGTGTGTGTGCACGTGCGCACGCATGCATGCATGCACGCGCGCGCGCGCGCGCGCACACACACACACACACACACACACACACAATGCACATGTAGAAGCCTGGGGTTGATGCTAGGAATCATGCTCCAGCACTCTTCTTCCGTATCTATTGAAGCAGGGTCTCTCAGTCAAACCCAGAGCTGGCTGTACAGTTAGTCATATTGCTCTAGGGACCCCATTTCCACTTTCCAAGGCTGGAATTAACACATGTGCCACCACACATAGGTTTTGAGAGGTCCCAACTCTGATCCTTACACTTTGTGGCAATTTAACCACTGTCCCACCTCCCCACTTTGCTGAACTTTGAGTTTTCTCAGACAGCATCTGAACTGTCTGAGAAAAAAATGAATATCATTTGTACTTAAGCAGCCCAAGCACTAGCAGCTAGAGACAAATTAGGCTGATTTATCTTCAAAATACTCAAAGAAGAGGAAAGTGTACTTACTAGAGTTATTTCAATTTATTTCAAAGAGGAGAGTGGGCTGAGTAGTACAGCTTGAGAGACCTGAGGTGAGATGTTCATGCATTATCTTTGATGTCTGGTGCCCTTCTAAAAGAAGCTGAGGGACATATGGCCTTCTGTCTCCCCCACGACGCACCCCAAGTACATTGAGGACCTGTCATCTGCTAGCAGTGCCACAGGTCCCCAGAGGACACTGTTATTCCCACAAACCTTGAGCTATTATCCGACAACACAACTCCTAGAAAAGTCCATTGTTTCCTTTTACAAAAGATGTAAGTGAAATTGCAAGAAAATGGGGCTTATCAAGCAGGCAGTGTAAGAGGCTTGCGCCCTGCTCAGGAGGGGACACTCTGCATTGTCAGCTGCAGCAGGCCACTTATGAAACCTGTTTGCAGCCTGTCAGATCATCCAGGCATCTTTTCCTGCCCTGGAGCAACTGGCTCTCACAGCACTCTGACACAGAACCACATCTGTGGACTGTCATCTGTAGATTCAGCCTGCTGGACTCAGGTCCACCCATCTGATGAGTCCTGGGGCTGGACCCACAGTAATCCTCCACTGTCACAGGACAGCCCAATGATGTAAAAAACACAAGTTTTGTCAATTCTTGGGTTAGTAGTAACTCAACTGCAAATTATCCTTTACTTACTAATAACAAAACTTTACTTACTAATTGTGAAATCCTAATTTTGATCAAGGCACTCTCTCAGGAATAGGGATGAAGCTCAGTGGTAGAGTACTTACTTAGCATTCATGAGACCCAGACTTCAGCTCCAAACACATGCAGATATACCCACATATGCAACACATTCATACACCAATACATGCACACAGATGGACACACATATACACTTATACTTACACAGAGAATACATACACATTCACAGAGGGGGAGGGAGGAAGGGAGGGAAGAAGGGGGAGATAGGGAGAGGAAGAGAGATACACACAGAGAAACATACATATACCCATGCATATACACACATATAGAGACAGACACATAAAGAGACACAAAGATGTACACATACACATAGAGAGACACAGAGACACACATAGATACAAACACACAGGTCAATAACAGGGGGGAAAGAACTTTACTTTTTCCAAAGAGCCCCCAAAGAGTCTTCGAGCTAGCAGCTTGCCTGCCTGTATGGCAACAGGTGTGAGCTCTGGTTTGCCCTCCAGTATGTCCCCAATAGCATAGACATGAGGCACGTTGGTCTGTTCCACATCATTCACTGGTATCTTGCCATTCCTGGTGGAGTGAGGAGGAGAGCACACAATAAATGCCCATACTGCTGACTGTGGTACCATGCAGATCAACAACATGGAAGCTTCCAGAGCCCAGGCACCGAGATGCCCAGTGACTTAGAAGACAACAGCTTAGACCGTGCTTCCTGCCTATCTGAAGCTTTCATGTTCCCCACGATCACCTCCAGGGCTTCAGAATTTTTCTCTTTGACCAATCAAAGACATCAAAATTCACTCTAAATCACAGACAGTGGGAGAACATATTTCTGTGAATATGCGTTTAGATTGCTACTGAATACATGAGCCCTTTAAGGCTTATGCTAAGAGTTCCTAATTGGCTGATCCAGAAATTAATGCTTATGGTGAGAAGTCTTAAGCATCAGAACGTTATATCTTAGCAATTTAAAACGGTTTTTATGAGGTTATGTGCAGTAATAGTGCCACAACCCTACACTTACTTCTCATTGATTTTGACCCCGATCTTCTCCAGCCCTATCTTCCTTGTACAGGATTCCCGACCAATTGCTAACAAAACCTGCATTTAGAGAAGAGACCAGAAGCATAAATTATCCCCTTAAGAATGACAAGGGATAGATACACCACTACATATGCTGGAAGCATTAAAAGGGTAACAATAAAATATTATAAGCAGCCTGTACCAGTGAATTTGACGGAACCCTTAAAAGACATGGTTGGCTTAGCAACTGTCTAGTTTCTTCTCTGTGGCTGTGCTAAAATAGCTCAACAAAAGCATCTTAAAGGAGAAAGAGCTTATTGTGGCCATAGTTCATGGTGGGGAAGTCAAAGCTTCAAGCTTGCAGTAACTGGTCATATCACATCCACAAACAGAAAGCAGAGAGTGACAGACGCATAGGCTGCTCAGCTCTTTCTTGATTTATATGAGGCAGGGGACTAGCCACGGAATGGCACAGACCACAGTGGGCAAGTCTTTCCATCTCAGTTAAAACTTAACATCAAGATAATCTCCCAAGGTCCAATGCCCAGAGGTCCATCTCCCAGGCAATTCTGGAGTCTGCCTAGCATTAACCCTAATACCATAACACACACAAAACCTGCATAAGCTTATGAGTTGTATCCATTCCAAACCCACATGTTTCTGTACTAGCCCAGACTACCTTAGCTTGTGACAGAATTTGGAGAGAGGGAGGGATTTGGTGATAACTAAAGTAAAATGAGGTCACATAGGTGTGTCCTTACTATGGTTTGTATAGATGTCTTCCAAAGGCTCTTGTGTTAAAGAGTTAGTCCCAGCCTGTGGTGCCCCTGGGAGAGATGGGGTCTGTGGAGAGGAAGTGGGGCCACTGGGAGCAGGCCCTCAAAGGGGATTGGGGGGCCTCAGCCCTTTCTTATGCTCTTTTCACTCACTGTTTCTACTAAGAACTCCAGCCATGCCATAAACCCAAACCAGACACAGGGAAATGTACCAACAGCCATTAAATATCTACCCCACCCTCCTGCCCCCAGTTACAGATACACACAACACCAGTGGCCCTAGAAATGCAACCCAGACATGCCATCCTAGGCACTGAGGAACAAATGCCACAATATGGTAGTGTGGTATGCAGTCTGTGGTGATAGGCAGGGTAACTGGGAACTGGAAGGGACATGGAGCTTTCTGGACTCACAGGCATGTTTCACTGCTTTAAAAGAGTGTGCCCTGCACCAACACATGCATTTGCCAAAAATGATCAACGGTACAATAGGTCTCATCATCTAACTGTAAGTTATATATGAGCAACTGCATACCAATGTGTTGGAAATCTAAGCTGAAATGAACTAATTCCCAAAAGAAAAAAATATTAAATCAAAAGTAACTATTTCTTTTCTAAAAATATGTGTTCACACATTCCCCTGAAAAATTGAAATCTAGACAGTTCCATCAGTAAATTCCAGTAAACAGAAAAATCCAACCCTAATATTATGTAAGTATGGCCAAAAGATAAGTAGGGGGAGTACACTACCAATGCCTTTCATAAACCAGAATAACCTTGACAGTTAAGCCTAGAATGTTTAAAATGCAAAAGACAATTTATAAGCCAAAGGTAGGCAAGGCAACACTCACAGTTATCCCAGCACTTGGGAGACCAAGAGGATTGCTCTGAGTTTGAGGCCAGTCTGAGCTACATAGTGAGCTTAAAGCCAGCCTTGTCTATTTAGTGAGAGACTGACTCAAATAAACAGACACACAAATACATACACACACACACACACACACACACACACACACACACAAATACACTCATACACCACACATAAACGCTTACACATGCATACATTCACCAATATGACTCATAACTATAGATATTTAAATTCTAAACAATCAAACTGAAATCACTGAATTGGGTTGATTCCAAGAATCCAAAGAGCTGAATGACTATTAGCAAGTCACTCAACACCTTGACAGGTTTAAAGGAAACCAATGCTTCCCAATTGCTGTAGAAATAGTTACAACTGAACAACTGTGCTTAATTTTAAAATAAAGAAGAGTGAGCAAAAGAAAAAAAACTTAGCAAACAAAAAAATAGAATGTCCTCAATTGCCCACCAGCACACCATGGAGAGCCTCACTATTTCACAAGAAGCCAATGAAACCTGCCTTTTGTTATATCGAACAAGATGAGTCACCTGTTGTCACTGCTGTGTGTAAGTCTTGCAGTGGACCCTGGCTAGTGTATTGTCCTAGGTGGCTTTCTGTGACTTCCATGAACACTGACCTACCAACTTGAGAGGAAAGGATTTATTTCAACTTACACTTCCAGGTCATAGTCCACCACTCAGGGAAGTCAGGGCGGGAACTCAAGCAGGAGCAGAGGCTAGAATCAAAGAGGAGCTGCTCCCTGGTTCAAGTTCATTCTGTGTGCCCATACAACCCCAACCATTTGCCAGGGGCAGCACACTGAATGCAACCTCCCACATCAATCAAGAAAGCATTCCTCCTTTCCTCGGTTGTTTGTGTTCCTTCTTCCTGGATGTCTCTGGTCTGAGTCAAACTGACAAAGCTAACCAGCACTTAAAGCTGAGAGGAGACAGAGCTGCTCTTACTGCTGTACTGTGTACAGAAAATCCAAAGCAATGTAAAGAAAGGGTTTCAGGTAGTAGTTACACAAATAATTTTAAAACCCCACAAAAAGTAGCATTTTTATACAACAGCACAGTAAAAGACACAAAGAAACCATCTGTAGCTCACAACTTTGGCTGCCTTACAGGAGTCCAGGCTACTCCTAGGGACCCCAGTTAAGACACTGCCCACCACCCACTAACATTCTCTAAAGCCCCCCCCAACAATCCCAGACTGCACCCCTCCCTTGGGCTCCATATTCCAGCCCACAACTTCAGCAGAAGTCTTTTACATTGCCTGAAGCCAGGCCTATTCTAGGGACCCAAGGTAAGGCACTGTGCACTGCCAGCTACATTCCCTAAAGCTGGTCCAAAAGCCCCCAACTGCACCCTGAACTCCATATCCCAGATCACAACCCCAGCAGAAAGCTTATGTTATACTAGAAGCCATGCCCTACTAGGAATCCCACAAACCAATCTGGTACCCAGAATTCCAGAGATCACACAGATACTTGGAACCACAGAGGCAACCTTGGCACCCAAAGCCCAGAGGTCTTTTAGGCTGCTGGGCCCCAAGATTCACCAGTCACCAGAACCCTTGGACAATTAGACCAGAGAGGAAACAGAAACCAAGGAACAAAACACCCTTCTAACAAAGACAAACTTGGGGATCAGCATCTAGACCTATAATCATGCCAGTGTAAGAACCCAATCAACAACAGAAAGGGCAATATGCTGGTCCAGAGCCCAGATATCCTACAACAGCAAGAACTGAACATTCCCATACCTGAAGCAGAGAAAACAGCCTTCCTTTTTGAAAATGATAGAGGTCCTTAAAGAAAACATGGAAAAACTCCTAAAAGAAATTGAGGAAATTGGAGGAAATCAATAAACCCCTTGAAGACCTGAAAATGGAAAAGAAGCCATAAGAAAACACAAACTGAATGAATTCTGGAAATGGAAAATCTGGGTAAGCAAACAGGAACTACAGATGCGAGCCTCACCAACAGAATACAAGAGATGGGAGAGGAAATCCCAGGTGCTAAAGATGCAATAGAAGAAAGAGACCCATCAGTCAAAGGAAATGCTACGTCTAAAACATTGCTAACAGAAAAAATCCAGAAAACCTGGGACACTACGAAAAGATCAAACCTAAGAATATAGGAATAGAAGAAGAATTCCAGCTCAAAGGCCCAGAAAATCAAATAAAATTTTCCTAATGTAAAGAAGTCCATGCCTACAAAGGTACAAGAAGCTTACAGAGCACCAAACAGACTGGACCAGAAAAGAAAGTCCCCTCACCACATAAAAATCAAAACACTAAACATGCAGAACAAAGAAAGAATATTAAGAGCGGCAAGTGAAAAAGACCAAGTAACATATAAAAACAGGCCTGCCAGAATTACACCTGCCTTCTCAGTGGAAACTCTAAAAGCTAGAAGGGCTTGGACAGAAGCCATATTTCAAAAACATGCACTCAACATAACTGGGACAGTATAAAAGAAATGGACAATTTTCTTGATAAATACCACTTGCAAAAGTTAAATCAAGGTCAGGTAGACAATTTTGTTATACAAAAATAAAAAAAAAAAAACAGAGACAGATAATGGTGTTTAAGCTTCAAATTGAAGGTCAGAAAAGCAAAGCAGTTGCCCACTAGCTCTTACCTCTGTTTCAGACTGAAAGGGTTGATCATGTCTCCATGAGCTTTTCCTCTACGCCTCAAACTGCTGCCTCTCCTCAACCTGACTAGAGAATGAAACTCAGAATGCAGCTTGAGACACTGGGCTACTGTCTTTTATATACTCTCTAGGGCTGGGATCTAAGGCATAAGCTCTAATTCTCTTTTAGACTGGTACAATCTTATGTAGATCTGCATGGCCTTGGACTCACAGAGAGATCCATCTACCTGTTTCCTGAGTCCTGGGATTAAAGGTGTGGGCTGCTACTGCCCAGCTTCTATGGCTAACTAATGTGGCTGCTGAGATTAAAGGTGTATATCACCATTGACTGATCTCTATAGCTTGTGCTGCCTTTGCTTTCTGAATCCTCAGATAAGCTTTAATAAATCAGAAGTAGTATACAGCACCCAATTTAAATAGACCTATAACTCAGAAGGAAAAATAGAAGCAGTCATTAAAAGTCTATCAAGCAAAAAAAAAAAAAAAGCCCAGGGCCAGATAGTTTTAGTGTAGAATTCTCCAAGACTTTCAAAGAGCTAATACCAATATGCTTCAAATTATTCCATAAAACAGAAATCAAATTCATTTTATGAAGTCACAATTACCCTAACACCCAAACCACACAAAGATTCAACAAAGAAAGAATTATAGACCAATTTCCCTCATGAACATTGATGCAAAAATACTCAACAAAATACTCAGAAAACTGAATCAAAGAACATATCAAAAAGATCATCCTCCATGATCAAGTAGGCTTTATCATCCCAGAGATGCAGGGATGGTTCAGCATATGAAAAGCTGTCAATGTAATCCACCATATAAATATGATGGGAAAAAAATCACATGATCATCTCAGTAGATACTGAAAAAGCCTTTGACAAAATCCAACACCCCTTCATGGTAAAGATCTTGGAGAGATCAGGGATAACAGGAACATACCTAAACATAATAAATACAGCAGACAATAATAATACAGCAGACAATAGCCAACATCAAACTAAGTGGAGATAAACTTAAAGCAATTCTACTAAAATCAGGAACAAGACAAGGCTGTCCATTCTATCCATATCTATTCAATACAACACTTGAAGTTCTTGAGAGAGCAATAAGACAACTAAAGGAGATCAAGGGGGATACATATTTGTAAATGATATGATAGTGTATATATAAGTAACCCAAAAAATCCTATAATGGAACTCCTACAGCTGATCAACACCTTCAGTGAAGTGGCTGGATACAAAATAAACTCAAAAAAGCCAGTAGCTTTCCTATCTGAGAAGGAAATTGGGGAAACAACACCCTCCCAATAGCCACAAATAATATAAAATATCTTGATGTAACTCTAATCAAACAAGTGAAAGACCTGTATGGCAATAACTTCAAGTCTTTAAAGAAAAATTTTGAAGATAACAGAAGAAGGAAAGATCTGCCATTCTCAAGGACTGGATAATTAACATAGTAGAAATGGCCATCCTACCAAAACCTATCTACAGATTCAATGCAATCCCCATTTAAATCCCAGCACAATTCTTCACAGACCTTGAAATAGCAATACTCAACTTCATATGGAAAAACAATCCTGTACAATAAAAGAGCTTTCATAAGTATAACCATCCCTGATTTCAAGCTGTACTACGGAGTTATAGTAATAAAAACCACATGGTATTGGCATAAAAACAGACAAGTTGACCAATGGAACTGAATTAAAGGCCTAGACTTAAATCCATGTACCTATGGACACCTGATTTTTGATAAAGAAGCAAGAAATATACAATGGAAAGAAGCAAGCATCTTCAACAAATGGTGCTAGTCCAACTGGATGTCAGACTGCACAAAACTCAAGACCAAGTGGATCAAAGAGGGGAGGGGTCTTGATGTAGGGGTGGGCATGGGGACAGGAAGGATCAAGTGTGGGGAGGATAGGGAGATAGCACTGGGAAAGACAACTAGGAGCAGCGGCATCTCTGGGATGAGTTAGAAACCTAGTGCAACGGAAACTCCCAGGAACCTATGAGGGTGACTAAGATTCCTAGCAATAGGAAATACAGAGCCTGAACTGGCCTTCTGTACCCGGCAAGTCTTCTAGTGGAGGGACTAGCACCCCCAACCCAGCCATATAACATTTAACCTACAATTTTCTTGGCCTATAAGATATGCTGGGGTAAAAGGGGCACAGAAATTGTGGGAGTGACAAACCAATGACCCATACCATGAGAGTGAGCCCACCCCTGGCACAGCCTGGAGGGCCAGGACCCAAAGGACCTAGGATAGAACCAAATATGGCTGGCAATAACAAAAGAAGTCAATGAAATTATTCCTAATTATATTCTGCTATACTCATAGATCATTGCCTAGCCCAACTGTCATCAGAGAGATTTTATCCAGCAACTGATGGAAACAGATGCAGAGATCCACAGCCAAACCTTGGGAGGACCTTGGGGAACCCTGCGGAAGAGGGGGAGGAAGGATTGTGAGAGCAAGAGGGGCCAAGGACACCATAAGAAAACGCACAGAATCAGCTAACTTGGCACTCATAGGGGCTCACAGAGACTGCACTGCCAACCAAAGAGCTTACATGGCACTGACATAGACCCTCTGCACGTTAGGTTGTGTAGCTTGGTCTTATTGTGAGACTCCTAATAGTAGGAGCAGGGGCTGTCTCTGACGCTGTTACCTGCTTTTGGGACCCTTTCCTCCTATTGGTTGCCTCATTCAGCCTCAACAGGAGAAGAGATGCCTAGTCTTATTGCAACTTGATATATCAATGGAAGGTTGATATCCATAGGAGGCCTGCCTTTTCTGAAGAGAAAGGAGGAGGAGTGGAGAGAAGAGAGAAGGGGAAGTTGGGGGCAGGGACTGGGAGGAGAGAAGGGATTAGAAAATGTGATCAGACTGAGAAAATAGTAATTAATTAATTAACTGGAAGTAATATATAAAATGACAATTTAACACACACACACACACACACACACACACACACACACACACAAACCACCTGGGACTATATAACACACAAACAAGCACCCAGAGGCCTGGGTGACCTGTGCTGGGGCCGCTAGGGTTTCAGAGCCTGGACTGATTCATCATGCTCCTGGACCACTACACACAGCAGACAGCCATCATCTGCACACACCACGGGACCCTAATCAAAGCCTCAACAGTAGGAGCTTGGTCTTCTGGCTTAGTTATGAACTGTTCCTCCCTACATTTATGCTTAGTTTTTAGATATTTATATAATGCACACAAATAAAGAGTACATAGCAAGTTTCTATTAACTGAGACATCCTTTGGGACCTCACCTCTCAGGTCATTCACACTGCCTTAAGATTTGGGAATTGTTTGTCTTTGAAAAGGAAAACTTGATTTATTGATTTGTTTATAAAATATATTTGATACCTATCAGAAAAATTTCCAAGTAAACTTATGTATGAAATATCTGATTCTCCAGAACAAGAGACCAAAGGGGTTTGGATATCAACTTTCAGAGCTTCCTGTGGACAGTGCTGCACATGTACATTTGACCATAGAGTTCTTTACACATCACTGAACATGAGTGGTGGCAGCCCCCTGCTTATAGCTGTTCATCTCCTCTTACAAAGAACTAGGAACATTAAGCCTCTGCTCATTTACAGGAACACTTACCACAAACACTCACCGTGTTGTATACCCCTTCAACTGTTTCCGGTCCTTCAGTGGACTTCGCCACAACTTTCAATATTCCAGGCGAGCCTTTCTCCATTTGTTGAATCTAGTAAGGACACAGGAGGTACTGGCTCTAACATGACAGAAAACAAACTAACCAAAGGATACTCGCATAAGGGTATACTTGCAGGGTGATGGTCACATGTGTTTTTGTGCACACTAGAGATTTCTGAACTAAGCAGAGAAAGAAAATACCCATGCTCTACATTTTGCAGCTAGAACTAAATCAGGGATTCACTGAGACTGGGGGCAGCATAAAAATGAAACAGAGGGGTTTTCCAGGTGTTGGCTTATTAGGTGGTTCCACTTATTGAGAGGGTCTGAAAGATTAGCAGGTGTCTAAATGGGAAATACAGTACTTAAATGTTATCTTGTTACATTTGAAGTGCTCACAAGGACTCAAGCAGTGCTGTCTATGGGTTTTTTTCTGAGTGAGCATGGGGTTCAGGAGATACATCTCAACAGAAGCTGTTAATATGAGAGCCCTTGAGCCCTCACACAAAACTTAGAGCTATTGGCCATAGATCATTCATAAAGCATACAGGGTAGTGAAGAGAGATGCAGACAGAAACAAAAGGGCACCAGCAACTGCTGGCTGAGCAGACTGCATGGAAAGGCACAGACAGGTTGGGGCCACACCAGCCAGAACAGTGAATGCTTTGCAGACGAGACATGTCACGACATGCAGCAGAGAGGCCTGTAATGTGTGGAGAGATGTGGCCACTGGGATTCCTGAAAAGCAGTTCAACGGAATAAAAAAAAAAAAAAAAAAAAAAAATGGGTGTGAAACAGGCAACAGATTAGAGGCAGTGTGCAGAGGATGTCTTTAGAAGAAAAGGAATGGTGGGGAGCCAGTCAGAAGGCATGCAGGCCCGCTTTGCCTGAGGAGAGCTGAAGAGAAGACAGAAGGCTGATGATATCACAGCCTTAAGATGCTCACAAGGAAAGAAGGAAAACTCGGAGTAGGTGTGTTTGTAGTCCTGGGGTAGATACGTCACCTTCAGCACTGTGTGAGTGGGTGCAGACTAATTTATTTGATGAAATAAAAGAGGGCAAAATTTTAAAAAGAAAAAAAAAAAAAGACAGCAAAGGGTCCAAGCTGCCCAGACTTGCCGAAACAGGGGTGAACTTCCTTTGGAACTTGATGCCTTGTTGTTCCAGGTAGGATCCCAGTTTCTCTGCCATTTCTTGATCAAATCCACGGAGAAGGACAGAGCGTACCATAACTGTCACTTCTAATCCCAAGCCAGCCAGAAATCCTGCACACTCCAGACCAACATATGAGGCCCCTACAACTAGTGTGCGACCAGGGCAATGCGGCAGAGAGAAGAGGTCATCGCTGAAAGAGACAAGAGCCACAGAGTGCAGGCGGTAATTACGAAACAGCTTTCAGTATGTGCCGACCTGCTGCTGGAAAGGCAATTCGGTGCCTGAGTGGAGACACCAAAAGAACACAACAGCTTCTGGAAGCTTCTAGTCACGTCTACTTGAAAGGACATAGAGAAGACATGGATCTGACACCCTCTTATGGCTCCTATGGGTACTACATGCAGACAAAACACCCATACACAAAATAAAAATAAATTAGTAAAAAATAAAATAGACATGCACCTTTAATTCCAGCATTTAGGAGGTAGAAGCAGGTGGATCTCTGTGAATTAAAATACAGCCTGGTCTACAAAGCAAGTTCTAGACAGCTAACCCTATCTCAAGAAACTAAAATAAATAAATAAAATAATAATAAAATAAAATAGAAAGGAAAACATATAGTTTTGCAGTAGCATTATGTATTATGTAGATGTGTATGGTATATGGTATATGTGTATGTGGTGTGTGTGTGTGAGAGAGAGAGAGAGAGAGAGAGAGAGAGAGAGGCAGAGAAAGAGAACAAGTATGGTGTATGAGAAATGTATAGTGTTTGGTATGTGGTGTATGAGATATGTGTAGTTTGGGGTATGTGTGAATGTGTATGATGTATGAGATGTGCAGTGAGTTGTATGTGTGGTATGTGTGGATGTGTACAATGTATGAAATATGTGTAGTGTGTGGTATATGTTGTATATAGTATGCATTGATATGTACAGAGTATGAGGTGTATGTTTGTGTGGTGTGTGTTATGCATGAATGGTAAAGTGTATGAGATAATGTATAGCATGTGGTATGTGTTGTGTATACTATGTATAAGATATATGTAGAAAGTATGGTATGTGTGGTACATGTAGATGTGTATGGTGCATGTAATATTGTGATATGATGGTTTGGTGTGTGCAGTCTGTATGGATGTGTACAGTGTATGAGGTATGCATAGTGTGCATGGTTATATGCAATATGTGTGAATGTGTGTCTAACCAAACAACAGTGTGATGAAAATGTATTTCCTCAACACATATCTACTCCACAGTCTGAAGTCCTTGCAGTGTCATGGTCTCTTGTTGACACCTGGGGGATACTGAAGTGGATCTGCAGTGTGGGAAGAGCCATGCTGCCCTTGAGCGGCCAGCTCATCTCTACCCTGAGCCGCAATCTCACATCTGGTCTGGCTACCTAGAAACAGCATGGCTTCTCTGTGGGTTCCAACAGTGACCTTGATACCTGCCTGACCTTACATCTCTCTGCTTTATTATTTTAACTGGAGTTTCATGTGCTGTGTATACTTTTGTCATGAATTCAAATCCTTTCTGACAAGGAGCATATAAAATGGGAACATTAACACACACAATGCAGTAAAGTTGAAATAAATGGTCTATTTACTCTACCTCGTAATACAGTATTCCTTATCTCCTTGGATTCCCAAGTACCGAGGCCTTTCACCTGTTGCTATGACAAACTTCGAAGCAGTATAAAATGTTTCCTGTCCTTTCTTATTGGTTGCCTTGAAAAGAAGAAAACTAAAGTTTAGTCGTGTCGTTACCACCCTTGAAGCCTCTCATTTGGCAGGAGTGACTCATACAGAAGCCAACAGTGCAGGGTGACTAGCACCACACAGAGAGCTCAGGTCAGTACAGCACGGTGGTCATAGTTCCACTCTGGGGCTGGGGTGGCCGAGCACAAAGTCAGTTTAGGATGGCTTCACAGAGGACCTGGAGACAGGAAGAGAACCAAGGAACTGCCTCTATCAGATTGGTGTGGGTGAGTCTACACTGCCTTTCTCTCGTCTAATGACTGATGTGGAAAGGACAGAACCATCCTGGGCAGGCTGTATAAGAATGCTAGTGAACATGAGCTAGAGATCAAGCCAGTAAGCAGCTTTCTTCCAGGGCCCCCGCCTCTGCTCTGGCTTACATTCCTGCCCTGAATGACCTGGAAGTGTAAGCCTGATAGGCAGGCTGGAACTAAAATGAAGGCCCTCATATACCATGCCACAGATCTTCAGCTAAGGAATGCCAGCAAGAGTTACCGGTTATTTGTGATTGCATGAATAATTCAAAAGACATTTCCAGGTAAGAAACTGTGGTGTTTAAACAAGTGGATGACACAACCAGCTAGAAGGTAACACCCCAAGTCAGTGTCTCCTTAGGACAGTTGTGAAGCATACAAGTAAGAGCAGGATGAGAGGCATGAAGCTCTGAGCTTGAACCGTGGGGCTGATGACATCCACAGAGGAGGCTGAGTGGGGAAGGGTAACTCGACCATCTGCCAGGCCTTGGACAGCTGAGAAACAACCTACCTTGTGCTGCTACAGAGTTTGGAAGGTTTGAAGGGATAACTTCAAGTTGACCAGCCCTCACCCATCTCAGCTGGTCTAACAACCAACTACAAAAGAACCTAAGATCTTGTCAAGATTATCTCATGCTGTGTTTACAAAGAAAAGTACAAAACTATCCAGATGTCTAAGGTGATGCTAATCGCACGGGGATCCACAGAGGGCAATGGCTGATGTCTTTCCTAACTCCAATTCTGATAGTATATACACATCACATGCTTAACCATGTAAAGCAGCCCCTGCTGAACGCTGCATACTGAAGGTCACATTTTCTTTTTCCAAAAGCTCCCCACTGCTGAAGTACTTAATTTTAGTCTGTTGCACTTCAAGCTGTTTAAATATTTTGATGACAATGAAATAAAAGCTAAACAATACCTTTAAATTAAAAGTTCTTTAAAATGCACATACTACAATTTATCTTGACATATAATCAACAAGCAGTGGTGTGAAAGGTACATATGTGAGGCCACACATTGTGTGTGTGACACGCCAGCTGCGGCCCTTAATGGGCCAACATGGAATTTTAATTTCAGAGCAGGGCCAAGCAGACAGTAATGGAAGACAATGAACCAGGCAAATGCAGGCAGTACCTTTATTTTATGCAGCTCCACAAACTCCCCATAGGCATTGACATAGGCCACACCTTTCTCCCGAAGCGTCACCCTGTAGCCCCAGTTCAAGGAGCCAATGTGGTTCTGGATTGCTTCTGTCATGACCTCCCAGTTATGTTTCACTAGAAAATAATCAGGGTGAAAGTACACAGTGAAGGTTTTGTTGCCGGTGTTTCTTTCACTTTTGAAACAGGGTGTTTCTCTGCAGCCTAGTCTGGCCTTGAACTCATGATGCACCACCACACACAGGTAGATTATGTATGACCCCACAAGAGCCACATCACTGGTTTAAAGACCTGTCCTGCTATGCCTTCTTCCCCCTTTACATTACAAAATGTGGGAGAATAGACAGAGCTCTGAGAAGAAAAGGGCAGAAAGCCACAGAGAGGTGCACACCGCACATGGCAATGCCCACCATGCAAGGGGAGGGCCACTGTTAGGAAGAACCTCCCAGAAACCCTTCTTACACCATGCGGCTTGCTTCCCTCATCCCACTAGGTTGGAAGAAGTCCTTGTGTTGAGACAGGTGTGGTCAAGTATGGAGCATTGTACAACACTGTTAAAATCACAGTGTAAGAAGTTCACAATACAAGCCCTGCCTCTGATGTCTACTCCCCTATAGACAAAAAAGAGGCTGGGAGGTAAGAGATCTAATTCCCTCCTTGGCTGCTGTTAAGATGTTCCCTTGTGCCCTGGTTGCCTTAAACAAGAGGACAAACAGCCAGTGGGACTACTTTTATGGCACCACTGGACATTCAGAACACTCTACAGAAACCCTGAAAAAAACAGTAACAATCACAGCTGCTTGCTCCAGCTCCTGAAGGCGCAGCCCATTCAGAACTGACTCAAACAGGATTTTTTGTTGCCACAAAACCTTGGTGAAAACTTGATGATTCTATAGGCACTTTCCCAGGCCAGCATGGGTGACCCAGCAGAGAGACTGCTGTGCTTGGTGCTAAAAGGGACAATAATGTGACTATGACCTATGAAACAGAAACCTTCCTTTGCATGAAAGGGTCTTTATGGTGGCAACACCCCTCCTCTGGACATAAAGACTGCTCCCCTGTAGTGGCATGAATGAAAATGGCCCCCAAAGGGAGTAGCACTATTAGGAGCTGTGGCTTTGTTGGAGTGGGTGTGGCCTTGTTGGAAGAATTGTGTCACAGTGGAGGTGGGCTTTGAGGTCTCACATATGCTCAAGCCACATCTAGTTTCTCAGTTCACTCTCTGTTGCCTTCAGATCAAGATATAAGTACTCTCGGCTCCTTCTCCAGCACCATGTCTACCTGCATGCTGCCTTGCTTCCTGCCATGAGGATAATGGACTGAACCTTTAAATTGTAATTATTTCCTTTATAAGAGTTACCATGGTCATCTCTTCACATCGGTAGAAACCCTAAGACGTCCCGTCCCCTTATACAGTGAATCATCTGCAAAAACAAAAAACACTGTGCTGGATCCCCTAGGGTTGCAATATTAGGCCAAGTAAAACACACATCCGGAGGTGTCTTCCTTGCTTCTTTTTAGTAGAGCAGGCTGAACTGAAAACAGCAGCGGGAACAACAGACTGTGGAGCAGCCACTGCCATGTCAGCTGCAGCAGAGGTGGTGCTGTGGAGAGCAGCCAGCAAGCCAGGCATCAGAAAAAGGGGGAGCCGTGTTCCTAGCAAAGCCTTGGCTGTGAAGGAGGAGTAGGGGCTGTTCTTCATGGAACAGACAAGTAGAGGCCAAGGTCAGAGCTATGGAAACCACCAGAGCTCTTGACAAGAGGCAGGAGGTGGCGATGGCTCCTGAAGAGGCAGAGCAGCCATAACAAGCTGTAACACCCATCCTGCCTCTAGCTAAGGAATTCCTACCTCCTAAGCCTGCCTATTCCTGACGCCACCCAAGAACTGTAACACTAGAGGGCGCCGTCTGCTGCTGCTTTGTCCTGTCTGAATCCACACCCTGCTGAACACCAGGACCTCTGGCCAGGTAGAGCCAGAGGAATCCAGCCAGTGGGCAGTGACAGTCAGGGACCATAGTCCACTCACCTGGCCAGACTTGCCCGCTTCCACTCCCATTTGGTTCACTGTGAGACACTTTCATGTTAGTATCTTTGTTGTTTTCTCAGTGCTGAGGTGGAGCCTGGGGCCTCGTGCACACTAGGCAGGCATCCTGCCGGGTCCTTACATTTCTTCAGAATAAAGCAGCATTTCATCTTGCACTATTGACCAGTTCTTTCTGGCATGGGGTTAGGATTTAACTGCTGGGCCTTTTTCCACCCTGCCTCTTCTAGTTGGAACTATATCTTGTCTATAGGTGCCAGATCTGGAAGCCCACACCCGCCTCTGTGCAGCTCCACAGTCATAAGACACAAGGCCCTGTCTGTGTAATCTGGTCACAATTGGATGAGAGTCCAGAAAACAAACTAGTAACTGAGGGGTGGGGTTCCATCTCCCTCTCTTAGAAAGCGCCTCCCCTGCCCCCAGCACAGTTAGGGTGGACACCAGGCCCACACAGGAGTAAGGAGAGCTCTATGGTTTTGCAGCCTGGAAAGGGTCACTTTCATTACTGCATACCCTCATGATGCAATGTTCCCCACAGTAGAACATTTGTGCAAACTCCAGCCCTAGAAGACCTTTCATTCCAACCCTCTGGGGAACTTTGACGGCAGGGGTCCTGTCCATTCTCTTCACAAGCCAAACAACCTTCACTGTAAAAAGTAAGTCTCAAACCTGGCTGTGCTGCTTATCCTGCGAATAGCCAGAACCCCTGAGCTTCCCCAGCAAACTGACTAACCAAATCTAGGGCCTGGCTCTGCTCCACCCTGTGTCTATTCCTTCATTGTTAAATCAGATGAGAGAAGTTACCCTCCATTCAGAGAAAGCTCAGCTAGTCTCACAGGTTTATTTTTCAATATAAACTTTAAAATGATCACTTTTGAGCTTTGGAGGGAGAAAATAAAGTCTCGGGTTGTGCTGGGTCTGCATAGTCATGAGCTAATCTTGAGATATGGCCTCTTCATAATATTGAGACAACCCCTCTAATTCACAGTACTTTCTGGTGTGCACTAACGGTCTTCCCATGTACACCCTTAGCTTTGCTCCAAGGCATCTCATCATTTTTGTCATTTTCACTATATTTTTAGCTTGTTATGGCTGGCAAGTAAGAAATGTGATTTTCACACTAACTGAACTAATTAATTCTAATATTGCTAAGCTCAATCTTTTATGTGTTTTAGATATATCATAAAGTTAGACCTTTCCCCCATTAATCCTTTTCTAGCATATGTGCTTTCTTTCCTGTCCATCTTCGCTGTGCAGTAGCCAGGAGCACAGCCATGCCCAGGATGACTCTGGGGCACTGCGGCCACGCACCAGGTGGTTCTGGAGCAAAGTGGCCATGCACCTGGCAGCTCCAACTCATATTTAACATAGGCTCAAGCTCTCCAGTAAATCTTTGCTTTCCACTCTTCACCATAAAAAGAAGTTTCTTATGTTAGCTTTACTGACAGACTTTTTAAAGCATGGTAGGTGTTTGAGATTTTCACAAATGCCTTCAGGTCACCACCATGTAGACCCTGGAGCTTGCCGCTGTACTTCCCTGACCAGGACCCCTCCTGATACCTACTATGAGCCCTCAGGAGCTATACACATATTCCTTTAAGGCACTCATGCTTGTCACTGGATTGCCTCTATAGGATGCACTTTTTTGATTTTTAGATTCACTTAGTATTATAGTTACTTCAGTCTCAACTTTTCTTGAGTCTTAACATAACCCGGCCTCCCTTTCCTTGTCTTGTACTATGAACTATGTACATCCCCAGTCCCTACTTTAGCACTATATGCTGTGACACTACTTCGCAGCTCTTGCTTGGCTCTCTCTCCAGATGATCCTTCCCCCAGAGAGCTAACCTTTTAGGATGTTCTGCAGATGCTCTGTGTGGAATGTGAAACAGTATAAGGAATCATGGAGTATTCTTAAGGACAGAAATCAACCGGCAAATAAAGAGACTTGCTTCTATCTACAACCAGCAGGTCCTACATTAATACTCATCTGGTGAAATGGGCGTATTCTCAGCTAGCACACCCAGCTACTAACTGAACTACTACTCAACTGAGCCCAGATACTAATTGAGCCTGCCTGTGTTGTCCATCTCAGCAAGCCACAGCCCATACCCCTTGTGCAACCTAACGGCTGTCTCTCTCCTCCACCTTAGGGAGTCTGCTGGGTCTAGGGTTGTCAGTCACCTGTAACACTCTAGACAGGCACTAGCCACATTAGCATCAAGGCCTCTGGAGATAGCCAACTCGTTCACGGTTTTCAAAACCTCCACAAGATCCTCTGACACAACCACCGTGAAGACCCCACCTCTGTTGGCCACCACAGTCAGTCACATCTGCATCACCAGCATCCCTAAATCCACCTCCCACTCTCAGTCCAGCATCATTGCTCAGGCCTGTAGCATTTCTTACCTCATCTCTCCCACCTCTTCCCCTTTCTAAGTTCCTTCATGCTTCAGGGGGGATCTGGACTCCAAGATGTAGCCTCTCTCCTGCCTGAGTTCAATGTCCCCATTACCTCTGGTATAAAGCCTAACTGCTTAGCTCTCCAAGGTCACCTCTTCCACCATGTTCACCTCACCCCATAGACCCTTTTTTCTCACACATGCAGTTCTGGCCAACCTGCTTCTGGTCCTAATGTCGTGCTCCTCTGTGGCTTCCAAGGTGCAGCTTGAACTGGGCATGGTAGTCCATGCCTGTCATCACAGCTACTCAGGAGGTAGAGGTAAGAGGAACACTTGAGGCCAGGAGTTCAAATCCCACCTGGCGAACATAGTGAGGAAGATTTTGTCTCAAAAGAAAACGGGTAAAGTGTGGCTACTATAACATAGGCCATCCTCAAAGCTATTCTTGGAGCTCCTCTGATGCTACAAGGTGCATCAGGTACCCCTCACATGCTCTGCAGAGATGCTGATGCTTCTGGACAGCACCTGCTGTCATTAGCTTGCATGGCAGAGCCCTGACAGCAAACAGGAATGGGACTTAGCCAAGATACCTAACACAGATTCAACACCACCACCACAATAACAGACTTCCATTCTACTTTCTTCACAATGGTAAAAATTAAAATGGCCATCACTGCCTTTCACGTTCTGCTGTACTTGCTCAAGTTTTGTCTCTAGACCTACGTCCCAGGAAGGCAGCTGGCATTGTGGCCTCTGTAGCTGGTAAGCAGAGTGGTCATGCATACTGAGTGAATGTCAGAAGCAACTGCAGAGTTGCAGACTCAGCCTGCCAGGGTTTTCCAGTCTCCACTCACCCTGCTGGTTATACTCCCAGCCAAACTTCCTCGAGTCCTGTAAGGCCTGCCCCAGGAGAGCTGCTTGGTGCATCAGCTTCTTAGGAATACAGCCCACATTTACACAGGTGCCACCGAGACCTGAAAAGAAAGCAATGTGTCAACGTTCCCCGAGTGCTTGTATGAGGTTTCTCACATCAACGTGAGTTTATTAAAACATGCAAGAAACATGACAGTGGCAGGGACAACTTTCATCCTCCAAATGAGGCTCAAATGATTAATTCGACTATTGAATTTGAAATTGCTGGAGAAGACCCAATAGTGGGTGAAGAGCTCTGGATCATTTGTGCCTGATACTCAAAGGACAAGAGCCACCTTAGCTAATGAGATAAGCACTGTACCCTTGAAATGACAGCTTCTAGCCTCTTCCTAACGTTCACTCCTCTAAGCCAACTGCAGTCCACAAAAGCTTCCTGTTAACATCTACTCTGAATGTGACCTACACAAAACAGCCAGGCCTGTGTGCCCCCATGGAACCTACACAAAGTGGGCCAGGCCTGTGCACCACTTGGCAGGATCCAAGTAAGGAATTCTCTCCAGCTGCAAGTTTTTCTAGTCCACAGATTACTGGGATCTTTTTGGATAGGACAGGAAAAAAAACAGGGAAGAAGCGGAAATAGGGAAAAGATCAAGGGTACACACCCAGACAGCCCAGTCAAAGAACAAGCAGGGCACACTGTTGCACCCCAGGAGTCCTAGGCTAAGGCCTTCGAATTAGCTTGAATTTCAAACAATGGTGTGTGTGTGTGTGTGTGTGTGTGTGTGTGTGTGCGTGTGCGTGCGTGCGTGCGTGTGTGTGTGTGTGCGGTTGTTGTGGTTGTTAATTTTTTCCCCACTCTTTACCTATCATGATTCTGGGCGGAACAAGAAAGCACAGTCGAGCTGGGTACAAATAGAGTCCATAGAGCAATGACGACACACTAGGGACAAAAGAGCAAGAAAGGTCAGAGCAATACCCAAAACTAGCAACAACAGTGACCATGAGAAGGGGCAAGGGGCCAAAGTGAGTGCCAGGACCCAGGGACAGTGGCATCAACCACATGTGGCCTTCCAGATGATGAATCCTAACGTGTCAGGACCCTAGCTTCCATTCCCTGTCCCCTGCTCAGACTGACAAAGCCTAACCTGAAACCAGAAAACCAGAGACGACCAGCTAGCTGTCAGGCTTCTAGGCTAGAGCAGACCAGAGACAAAAGAATGCGTTTGAAGATATGATGAACATTCTGTGCAAAATCTGTATGTTCTATTTTATTGAGAAGAAGGGGAAAAGCCGCATGGCCAGGTGAGCACTCTGCCCTGCAGCATACAGCAGAGGTACATATATGGCCAGGACCACGTGTGCTTCTCATACAACCAAAGGGAAATAAATGATGGTAGACGATGACAATAGCAGGCACTGTAGAGCTATCAAGCCCAGCTGTGAGACGAAGACAGAAACAGAAAGTGGGCAGGACACAGCATATGTACTGTGCCTGCAACAATGTGAAAGTGCTGCTGCATGCATGCAAAATCTACGGCAGAAGCGCGGGTGCTTGGCCCTGGAACCGCCTTTCTTTTCATAAAGCTGAACTGTTTGCATTCATTTGCAAAGTCAGCATCACTATATAGCTCACCTTCCTGAGACCAGGCAGGGCTACCTGTGATTACAGGAAAGATGCTGCCTATAAAAGCTTAAGACAAGGGCTGGAGAGGTGGCTCAACAGTTAAAGAGTACTAGCTGTTCTTTCAAAGAACCCAGGTTCAATTCCCAGCACCTATATGACAGCTCACAACTGCCTGTAACTACAGTTCCAGGGGATCTGACACTCTCACACAGACATACATGCAAGCAAAACACTAATACTCATAAAATACACACATTAGTTAAAGAGGACAAGCAGGAACTGCAGCTTACCCCAGGATGAGCCCTGAGGTGATGGGACCACAAAGTCTAGCACCATGACCTTCTTTCCCAAGTTGGCAGCTTCCTACAAAAATGACCACATGGAAAGGTGTCTTGTTACTTTCTTACCCCCATTTTTCTCTCCCTTAAGTAAATAGTCTGAATTTGCCAGATACTCCTCCAACCCCAATCAAACCAGTTATTACAAAAGCTTAGATTGCAAGATTGCAGTTAACTTCTTAACAGTCATCAATGGGTAACTCCTCTTCACACCTTTGCACAAGAGAGTCCGCCAGAGCCTCCGCCAATAATGATGAGATCATAATCATGAGTCGAGTCTTCATGAAGGAGCTTCTGCAGTAAACCACTCTTATGTGCCTACAGATTACCAAAGGAGACAGAATAGCACACGACTGACTGCTTTTTCAACCAGCATGGGTTCTTTGACTAAACAAATCTGGAGCTGGAGAGACAGTTCATCAGTCAAGAGCACATACTGTTCTAGCAAAGAACCTAAGTTCAGTTCCTAGGAACCACAGTGGGTAGCTAACAACTGCTGGAACCCGAAGTTCCAGGGGACCTGACATCGCTGCCCACTGCAGGCATCTGTGCATGTGCTCACATACAAGCATAACCCCCTACACACACACACTTAAAATAAAAAAATAGTAATTTTTAAAATATACCCAATGCTGGGGACTTAACTTAGTGGTGGAGAACAAGGTCACATGTTTAGTTCCTGGCACCAAAAATAAAGAAGAAAAGCAAAGAAAGGCCTCAGGAATGATGCGCCAAATATTTGTGTTGGGACTGTAAATCTACCTAGATCTAAGTAGAGTACAACTTACGCCAACAGTTACATATTTATGTCCACTGTGACCTAGTTATTCTGATAGCCATCAGTGTCAAAAAGGCCACTTCCACAGAAAAATGATCATGTGTCACTTTTCAAGTCCTTGCTCCTCTAGGCTAGTCTTCATTTGAACTCTGGCTTTTGTGCACCAGCAGCCGTCTTCATGGCCTCTCACTAACTGACCCTTCATTCCACAGCTGTGCTGGGCGGCTTCCCTTAGCACACATCACACACATCTCAACGTTTCTTTCCCAATGGCCACAAGACAGGTTCTGGAGTCTCTTGCTCCTTTGACCTCCCCCCCCCACCCCCCTTGGTGAGAAGATGCTCGTGGTTGAGGTCAGGTTAAGTGACTCAGCAACATTGTCTTCATGCAAAGCCTGTTACCTTGGAAGCAGCAGACTAGAGCTAGCCCTGCTCAGGCCTGTGTATATCACCATCAGGACTCAAAGGTGCTCTATGACCACTGGAGAATGGTACTGGCTATGTGACCACTGGGATATAGTGCCAACTATGCGACCACTGGGAAATAGTGCCGGAGGTGGTTTTTAAAGCATTCTACCAAAAAAAAAAAAAAAAAAAAAAAAACCTACCCTGGCCTCCTTATTTTATATGACTCAGAAAAATTCACCTCCTCGGATTCCAGATCATTATTTTGCATTATTTTCAGGTTAGGATGGATGGTGTTAGATAGAGTACTGAGGAGCTACAGTACTTACCACCTGCATAGTGGCAGGACAATAGGGCTAATATGGCATAATTGTGTGGGTCAGAGAGATTAACATTCAAGGTGATGGTCCTCCCAGCCAAAAATTACTCTTAATTAAACTTTCAGATATGTACTTAATCATTGGTTACTAGTTCTTACATGTCTACATAAGGGATTAAAACAGAATTGCATTGAGATTAAAAACAAAACTAACTATAGAATAAGCACCTTATTTAATAAACATCAAAGGAAGATCAAGCCCAGGGCTTCTCACATGCTTTTCTCCTGAGCCACATTTCATACACACCCAATTTTAATCTGTTACTATCTACCAAAATGGCTCCTATGCATTACCTTCATTCTACCAATCAAGAAGTTAAAAGCCCTATGCTTTGCATCCAGTACTGGCAGCCCTGGCAGGAGTTCTAATCCTCTGGACAACAGTGTTTGTGTCGACCAACTCTTGTTGGAGAACAGTCTGTTTCATCACCTATCAGGAGGAAGAGACTTGTTCTGTCCCCAGCAAATCACCTGTCACTCGTCCTGGGGACATGTGAACAAATATCTCTTTACCTCAGATAGGGTAGAACAAAGATATGATTCTAGGTGTAGCTTAGTGAACTCATGGCTGCTTATGGGAATGTGAACTGGGCTGCTTATGGGAATGTGGACTTGCTGTTAGCTACACTACTAAAGAAGGGTCTGTCTTCATAGAAACTAGCAGCTTATCTATCTCTAGGAAGGAGTGAGGCCTCATGAGTCACCTCATTGAGTCAAGAGCTGCTCTAGAGCCACTGTGAACCCCTTGTGGGCATTAGGATGCTCCCTCCTCACATACACACACAAGGGAGTGGTGATGGGTCCAGTCCTGTGATGGTCACAGCCCCTCTGACTTCAGGCTATGAATGGCCCTCCTGTACCTGGGCCAGCACTGTGTAAGTTCCCTTGTAGTCTCAGGGTTACCAGGTAACCAGCCTCTGCATTTCCGGTACTCCCATTTGACACTGATTAAGTTACAATGTGGACAAACAGTGTCAAGGACCATGAGTGATGACAATCATTACCTGGAAAGTTCGGTCACATCCGCCCACGTGCACTTTATTCACAAAAATATTAGGCACCGTTTTCTGGTTACTGATTTCTTTCAGAACTTCCTGAACATTGGCCCCATCATCTAAAGAATAAAACAGCATATGAAGACACCATAAAGGGTCCCCTTGCAGAGCTCAAGCCTTTCAATGGTCACTGCTCATAGCTTACAAGTCCACATCCATTACAGGCCAGTGTGCTCTATGACTTTATGGAATGGTGACTCAGGATGGGAAAGCAGCTATACCTTCAGAGGACACCTTAAACCCAAAGGCTACCTATGAATTCCTTCTAGGACAAAGCATCTGCGTTAGCTTTTGCATATGCAAAAGGGACAAGTATCCTTTAAGAGACAAAACCCAAGTGAAACCTGCTATAATAACTAACAAAAAAACACTTCCAGGCAGAGGCAGGAAGATCTCTGTGAGTCGGAGGCCAGCCTGGTCTACAGAGCTTGTTCCAGGACATCTAGAGTTGTTACATAGAGAAACTCAGTCTTGATAAACCAAACAGAAAGCTTTTAAGCGTGGTTTGCAATCCAACCTCCTTCTTGGAAGATACAACTGGGACCATGACACTTAGGACCTGACACTTACTGGTAAGAAATAAGAGCATCTTGCTTTCTTAAGGCAACTTGATGAAAAGCCCATGCCTTAAAGGTAAAACTGAGGGGTTTTTTTTGGGGGGGGTTGTTTGTTTATTTTCTGGTCATTATCACATCCCAAATTCCTTCAAAGAACAGCAGATGTGAAGTGTCCGGTGACTATCGTGGCCATAAACGAAAAATATTCAAAACTAAGCTGAAAACTTAACATGTTCTTCTCCATGGGCAATGCAACCAGGAAATGGAGTGGATTCCTTTCAATAAATGATGGTTTAATCTATTTTTTAGAATGCTGACAGGAAAGTATCCAATACTTCAAGCACTTTAAAGTTAGAAGCCCATAGCTTCCCATGCCCCACCCTCAAATACAGAAAATCTTTATCAAATTGTTTGTCATGTGAAGGTTCATCTTCTGTGTGGTTGAATACAGACAAAAAGAGCTCATTTGACAGAAGGATATGAAAGTAAACTGAGGTGGACGAAGTAACTACAAACAGCAGCATTGCTGACAGCTACTCACCAACTTGATCAAGTTCCAGGATGTTATACTCCACTCCTAAGGATGAAAAGAGTTCCTTAACCTGTAAGAGAAACACTTGTGAGCTTTGTGCTCTCGAAAGGTCAGTAGCTATGAAAGGTGCCTGTGTTACATAAGGTGATAGAGGTGTCCAGCACAGGTAATCTTTAGGGACATGAGTTTGGCCCATGGTGTTCTCATTTTCCTCTATATGCTTCCCCAGAGCAACCCAGTCTGCCACCTCCATTCTTTTACTCTTTGTCTCCTTCTGCCTTCTAATGAACTTTTCTGCCCAAATCTCTTTTCTGGCTCAGAACAGGTTCCTGGCACTCTTCCACTGGTGCCACGACAATGCAAATCTTCAACCACATTGCTTCCTTTTTCTGTGCTTCCTCTCAACAGCCATTAAGTTCCTCCAACTAAATCAACTATCAAACATCTAGGACCAGTCAACCACGATCCCAAGTCCACAAGGTGCAATGATGAACCAGACACATTCTCTGCCTTCTAGTACAGAAATCAAATCAAGGGCACGGTGACAGTTTAGCTATGACCCTTTTGCCAGATGCCCATCAAAATGCCCCCAGAGTCTGACTGAGAGACCACAGCGTGGGTATCACCCAGAGCTTACAGTCATACGGCATTGAATCTGCACTGTAACTGCTGTACAAAGGTCTGGCTAGGCTTCACTTCAACATCTGCCTTCCAGACATCTTCCAGGTCACACTAACCTCCCCACTACCCATCCAATGATGCCAATCACCAGTCTCAGTTCTCTGTGTTGACTGCTCCACTCTCTAGTTCCCCACAGTAACTCTATCCCATGTGTGCCTGCAGCCACCAGCTTTGTTTCCTCCAGTTCACCCAATGGCAGCCACTGATCTTTTCATAGCCATTTTGTGACACCACCCTTCAACACCCTCCACCCTTGAGATAAAACCAGGAGGCTCCAAGGCCTAGGCAGATCTGTAATCATGGTAATTATCTAAGAGTAACCCTTTCACAACTTGGAACTCTCCTACGAGCATTCAAGAAATGAACATTTATTCTAGAAAACTTCCTAAAAGAAAAATTCTTAAGAAAAAGCAGAGTTTATATGGCCCTGTAGCCTGGTTCTACCCCTTTCTCCTCTTCTGGCAGAAACTCTATTTCCAAAATAGTATCTCCTCAAATGGAAGGTGGCCAGCATCTCTCAGCTCTGAGTCACAGAAGCTTCAAAACAAGGGCTCCCTTCCTCCACTCAACCTATTTGAAGTCAAATTTTCTACACAGATGGCTGGTGGAAAATCCTAGCGTCCCAATCATGCTCCCTGTGTAAGGTCAAGTCCTAGGAAGAGAAGACTAAGCAAGGAAGAGTAGATGCTGCAGACCCATTAGGAACCCTACTCATGAAGCCAGGGTGTCACTCATAGAAAATTAGGTCACTGTCCCCACCTCCAGCTCAGGAACATCATGCAGGAGTTTTGCAAGGGGGAGAGGCACGCCACAACAGCAGACAGCTGTTGGATGACTACTTTTGAAACAGACTGTGGGGAAGCTCCAGGCCAAAGGCAATGGAGATGCACTACCAGGCAAGAAATAAGAGGAGGCAACAGTCATTCAAGGGACAAGCTAATCTGCTGGTGAATGAGGGCAGCTACCATGGAAAAACATCAATTCCTCAGAAAAATACAACTAAAGATATCTGTATCACAGGTGTGTTCACTCATGTTCATTGCCACATCACTCACAACAGCCAAAAGCAAGGCAAGTATCAACTGGTGCTGTATTGATAGGAAAGGTACATGTACACACAGTGGCTTATTATTTACCCTTAAGATCAAGGAAAATTACAGCTCACGCTACAAGATAGACCAACCTTGAGAACATTACACTAAGCAAAACAAGCCAGATGCAAAAGTCAAACTGAATGATGTCACTTATATGTGGCACTTGGAGAGATCAAACTCACTTTTTGGTGAGATAGTTGGTGAGGACTGGGATGGTGAAAACATTAATTACTGTGTTGATGGGTTTAGAATTTCAGATCAAAAAGTTCTGGAGAGAGACTGTGGCAATGACAGCCAACAGTGTGACTCTGTCCAATTTCTGAATCCTTGCATGTGGTTCCAGGGACTTGAACCTGACTCAGGGTGGTGGCAAGGGAATAAAGAAAAGACAAGTGCACAGATACACAAAAAACAGTGGTTTGAGACCTCGGATGGTGAAACCTCAGCATCCCCTCACCACCCAAGCACTGTATCATATAGAATTGAAGTGGGGGAATGGTGGGCAGGGTTACTGCATACAGCTGAACCAAGGAGGCGGGGATTCTGGTTGACAGGTGAACTAAGGAAGCAACTGACATTAGTAGGAACAGTCTCTGTAGGGGAACAGTCTTCAAGGATGTAAGTACCCAGGGGTAGTTAACAGAAGCTATGATGGGCATTTTATGCACATACTACTTATTTTAGCACTCAAACCAGAAGCGAAGACTTTGTCACTTCTCTGAGCATAGCCTGGGGAAGGTTTGCCATTTTCCCATAGGTTTGAAACTTTGTAGTCCATATCAACAGCAAATATTCACTTAAGACCTCCTCCACTCTCCACACCCAATGTCACTGGCCTCTACTCTATTGATGTGACAAATGGGTTTTTGAAAAAATTTTGCCCTGGTTTAGCCTGGGTTATCTTGACTGTGAGTCCATCTGTCTCCACAGCTTGCTGGGGTTTGTGTGTCAGCCAGGTCATTCCTTTCAGCTCTGGGCTAACATTTCTTTACCATAATCTTAAATTCACACTTATCAGTAAAACATCTTGAGACACTTACACCTTCTAAATAAATCCCAGCCGTTTTTGGGGAACCCCACCCTGGTTTTCTTTCTTACTCCTTATATTCAGACACTGCCTTCCTTTTGTCCTCTCCTTGACATAAATCCCTATGTCAAGTGCCTTCCCTTACAGACAGACCTCCTCTCTACCCTGGAGGATAAGCCCACCTAACCTTTCCTTAGCCTGTCCAGATCATCTGAAGTAGCTACTGTCTGCCTCATCGCCACAGCCTTTATTTGTCACAGCTCTTCTTTCTGTACTTGAGAGCTGGCTAGTTGACTGCTCAGTTATTCCAAATTCCTGAGGAAGGTGACAGAACCATGTTCATATTTCTACAATGCTAAGTATCCAATAACTAATGCTTGTTAAATGGCATTAACACTTAATGGGAGATGTCATTCTGTAAATATGTTTCTCTTATCGGTTAATAAACAAAGCCTTGTTGGCCAAAATGAAAGCAAGATAGGTGGAATTAGGAGACAAGGAGGATTCTCGGAGATGTAGTAGGAGAGTCAAGATGTAGGGACTTGAGAGAGGAAGGTCTGGACCGTCTCTCCAGTAAGATAAGACCATGTGGAAACACTTAGATTAATAGAAATGGATTAATGTTTAAGACAGAGCTAGCCAATAAGAAACACTAGTAACAGGACAACAGCTTTATAGCAAATACAATGTCTCTGAATGTTATTTGTGGCTGACACAGCTGTGGGACCAGGCTGGCCGGAAAACTGCTCATAACAACCACTTGATTGCTGTAGGGACACGTGGAAACTACAATGGATTGTGAATCACATCTAATAAGCCCATGAACAAACCACCACAAAATCAGCCAGAGAATGGTCACCAAAAGATAGGCTTCCAGGATGTACATGTCCTAGAAAAAAACACCCAGGAACTCACTGGAAGACATACCATCCTAACAGAAGCAGGGAAGGCTGGGCAGTTAAGAGACCCTGCATCAAGAAGTGTCTGCTCCCACTCAATACCAACAACACACACACACCAAGAAAGAGACCAGCACATACGAAGATCAGATTGAAGGAAAGGATGGACTTCTCAATGTAGAAAACAGGAGCAGCTGAGATCATAAATAAATGCAAGACTGTAGAGCAAGAACTGTGACACACTCACTAATACAGGCCAAATTGGTGTGAGCACTTGAAAATGTCCTGGCACTGTGATCAAGTCTACGAATCAATCAGCCGAAAGACACCCATCGATTCTGGGCTTTCCAGCTAAGATCAAGAGTGGCTCAACCACCCAGGTAGGTTGGCCATGGATGTACTTCCAGAGGTATCCAAGGACAGGCATCTAGCCATATTGCTATTAAGATCAAAATACTGAGCCAGTTGTGGTTTGCAATCCCAACACTTGAGGGGCTGAGGCAGGAGGATTACCACAAGTTCAATGCTAGCCAAGGGAGCATCATAGCAGTGGGAAGCAATGAGGCAGAGCTACAGGTACCAACACGCGTGAGTCTCTAAGCAAAACTGCTGAGGGAACAACTGTAAAACAATGAGTGATTCTACTTGTATAAGGACCCGTGTAGGCCAAAGGAGCTGTTAGTGATGTGTGTGCATCTAGTGACTCAGAGAAGCTAAGGAATGTGGTTACCTTGTGGGGAGGGAGGGAATATCCAGAAGTCTCCATGCTGCTAGTGGCATTTTATTGGTTTTTAAAATGAATACATCTGTGTGTGTGTGTGTGTGTGTGTGTGTGTGAATGTGCGCGTGCTCACATTCACACACAAGCAGGAATACAAGCAGTTGTAGAGACCAGAGGACAACCTCAGGTGCCATTCCCAGGAAGATGGTATGTCTGTCTACTTTCTTTGCAATAAAGCCTCTTATTGGCCTGAAACATACAAGTTAGGTAGTCTGGAATTATTGTCTCTGACTTCCGGGCACTGGGATAAAGTGTACTCCACTATATGCATCATTTTTATGAGCTCTGGGGATCGAACCTGGGTCCTAGAGCTGACAATATTTGTTGTTTCTTGTGATAAGGACTTTTATAGTAGCCCAGGTTGGCCTAGAATGCATGATCCTCCAGCCTCAACATCTCCCCCGCCCTTTTAAACAGTGCTAAAAATGGAACCCAGGGCCTTGCTCCCACTAAGTCACACCAGGCCCTTAATTTTCAGATAATGTTAAGTAAACATCAAAATATTGAACATTATGATTTTTTTGACTCATAACAAGGCAACAATGCTGAATGTCCACCTAGCCCCAAATTAAGAGTGTGCAACAGAGCTTAAACCAGCCACGACTTAAAACTCCTCTACCTTCATCTCAGAAGTGGAAGTCAAGGCCCAGCCTCGTTCTGAAACCTGGTCAAGGAGCCCAACAAGATCATTAACAAGCGTGATCTGGATCCAGCTTCAGCCAATGTCGCCATCCCTTGCTCTTCCCTTTTTAGTAAGACAATTTCAAACGTTGGGTGGTTTTTTTGTTGTTGTTTTGTTTTGTTTTTTAATTTTAATAAACTTAAGCCCATATCAGGCTGGAAGGCAAGCGCTTCACTAGGTGTCTGCCGCCTGGGACCCGGTAGTCTGTAGGAACACGTAAGCAACTATGCTCAGAAACCAAAATTCAACTAAGCTAGAGCTCCACAGAAGACCTACTCCCTACCCCACCCTTAGGCCCCACACACCCGCAGCCCCTGTCAGCTCCGGACTAAGCCACTAAGCTCCACCCAGGCCCCCATCCACTAGCTCCCGCCCACTGAGCTCTACTCAGATCCTCCCCGCTAGCCCTGCCCACCAGGTCCTGTCCTGTCCCTGAACTACGATTCCTCCCGCCCAATGAGCACCGCCCAGACGCCCCCCATTACGGTTCCGCCCATCAGGCGCCAACCAGAGAACTCCACCTTCGCCACCTTCGCCCCGCCCACTGAGCTCGTGCGGAGACCCTCACTGAACTCGCCCAGCCCCTTCATCCACGCTCCTCCCCGTCCCTCTCACCAGATCCAATCGTTTACATCCATTTCGCTCCTCCCACCAGGAATGTAAGCCGTTCCCCTGCCCACCCAGCCCCGCCCCCAGCCCCGCTCCGGCGGGCCCCGCCTACCCTCGTGCTGTGTGGACAGTAGCTCTTGCTGAAGATCATCACCCGATTGCCGTCGATGAGGTCTTTCAGGCGGCGCCGCAGCTCCTCGCGGGCATCGGAGGCCTGGCGGCTGGTCCCAGGGGACGACAAGCGGGCGCGGCGGCCCGGTGGCGACGACATTAGTCCTCCGCGCACCGTGCCCAGGCGGCGGTTGGGGACCACTGCCGCCTTCCCCTTCCCGGGCGAAGTGTTTGGCCGCGGAGGCGACGGTGGCGACGGTGACTGCTCCAGGGCTTCGTTGTCACTCCCGGCCAGACCGGGCCTGCTCAGGAACCGGGACGCGGGCGGCCGCCTAAGGGACGATGCCGGCAACGCCACTGAGAGCTTGAGAATGCTGCGCACCAGCCGCCGGCGCACTGGACAGCAGCGGGGCCACGCTCCCACCCTCGCGACCGCACCCACAGAGAGTGCCCGCCTATTGACCAGCCACGCCCCCCCGGGCAGTTTCGCCCCACCTCCAAGGCCTTCACGAGGCTAAGCCACGCCCCTTTAACTCAGCCGTGTGTGCAGGTAAACTAGGCCATCTACTACTGCTCAGGAGTGCAGTCACTTGCCATTTTTCAATGGTGCAGTATCAGGCTTGTATGCTCTGTTCTTGAAATTATTATTTACATTGTGATTTTACTACAGCTTCTGCCACCCAGAGGCCTCTCTGCAGCACCTTCTGCTCCCAATTCTCCACCAGTCTCAAGATAGGCGCTTTTTTAGGAAGGATAAATGTCTACATTTTATTTTGGGAATCGTGAATAAAACCATATCTAGGAAATACAGATTTTCTTTAAGTTTGTATTACCAAAACTGAATAAAACATCACTTTCCCATTGCAATTCAGTTTTAATATGAAGTTCCTAGGTCACTACCACCCTGGAATCCCCATCCCTATTCCTGTGCCATAGTCTGTTTGGTCTGGTTTGTTTTTTGTCAACTTGGCCCACACTAGGATCACCTGATAAACTCAACTGAGAAAATGCTTTCTTCAGAGTGGCCTGTAGGCAAGCCTGTGGAGCAGTTTCTTGACTAATGATTAATTTGGCAGCACCCAGCCCACTGTGGAGGGGTGCTACCCTTGGGCAGGTGGTCCTACATTGTAAGAAAGACAACTGAGCAAGCCAGTAAGCAGCATTCCTCCACTGTTCGGCCTCTGCTCCTTCTTGAGTTTCCCAACTTTCACCAATGATGGACTGTGACTGGGGACTTGTAACCAAATAAACCCTCTTCTCCACTAATTTGTTTTTGGTCAGTGTTTTACCACAGCAACAGGAAGTAATTAGAGTACAAAGTATTCTGGAGCCACCCCCCAACAAATGAACCCCTAACCACCCAATCCTGTGGGAAACATTTGGGAAGAAGGCCAGAGGGCTACCGGCTTGATCTTGATCAAATAAGAACACACGGTGTTCAAACACATAGCAAGTTACAAGAGTTCATCTGCCTGGAAATGTAAATAAAGACATTGACTCTAATTGGTGGGCACTGTTAGTCAAACAGTTGGCTAGACTACCTAGCACCTGCACAACAAACCACAGCTGCTTACTCTGTCTGAAGGTGCAGGCTCAGCCAGGCCTGTTTTAAACATTTGTACCAGCCTTGCTGTCCCCAGCCCCTGAAGTCTGAAGGCCCTGCCAAAGCTCAAAGTTTTTCCATTACAACCCCTTTTAACCTGAGTGATTTCACATGACCTTAAATATGTATATACATTAAATAGATAAGCAAATCAAATGTTTGCTGGTAATAAGTCATAATGAATTTTATTTTTAAGAAAATCTTAGGCATCCATATAATTTCTCCATTTATTAAAGATGAGAGGAAATTTGCATTCTAATAAGATGGGTAGTCTTGTTTATTTTTACATACAACAAATCTTGGCTGAAAATTTGATACCAAGGAAGGTAAGAACATTGTCAGTGTTTTTCATAATTGATCAATATTTTAATTTTATAATTATCCATGCTGAGAATATTGTTTTGCATAAATACAAAGAATATTTAGAGCTATCTCAGAAATGGTTGGAAATTCTGCCCTAATCCCAAGCCAACATTTACAATTTTTTATTGTATGCACCTCAAATAGCAATTTTTGAAATCACACATTCTAACACAATACAAATCTAAATATACAATAATTTGCTCCTTACATGCTGAGGAATGCTGGGAGGAAAATATTAAACGTCTTTGTTTTTTGTAATTAAATCACTCATTTTTATTTCACAAGCTCCATATTTTTTATTCATCCCCATTTGGGGTCACAACCCACGGCTTAAGTACCTGGGATCTGTTTGGTTTGAATTTGTCACAGGCCTTGTGCGTGCTGTCACCGTCTCTGTGAGTTCCTATGTCTATCAGTCTTGTGCCTGGAAGATGGTATTTCCCTGTCTCTTACCTTTCTGCCCTCTCTTCGGCACAGAGTCCTGAAAGGAGCAGTTTGATGAAGTCATCCCATTTAGAACTGAGTGCTCCAAAGTCTTTCACTCTCTGCACTTTGTCCAATTGTGGGTCTCAGTGTTAATCACCATCTACTGCAAGAAGGAGCTCCTCTGATGAGTGCTGAGTGATGCTCTGATCTATGTGTGCAGTCATGTCAAATCATTAGGAGTCACTTTACTGCTATGTCCCTTTAGCAGAATAGTAGTAGGTTTTTCATCAGGGTCCGTGATCTGGTTCTTGGACACTTTGGCAGTGTTAGATATGAGTCCCATCTCACTGAGCAGGCTAAAGGACTTTTGTTAAGTGGCAAAGCTGTGACTGGCACACACACAAACCCATGCCCCTTCTTGGATGACCTAAGCAGGCTGCTCAGGCTCACTTCGTGAGCTGCCTGGGAGAGGCCCTCCTGCACAGCCTGCCCTGGCGTTGCAGCACCAGGCTCCCCCAGAGTGGCCTCTCCTTGCCTACTTTTGGTAGTATGGACTGAGAGGTGACATGTAGAAAGAGCAGCAGGTGGAAAGGCAGCAAGGGCTGGGCAGTCTGCAGGCTAAACTGGGAGGGGGAAGGGTAGGGAGAGGGCAGTCGTATTCATTACTTTCCTTGTCACTGGGACAAAATGCCTAACAGAAGTAATTTAGGGGAAGAAGACTTTATTTTAGCTCACAGACTCCTGGCAGGAAAGGTATGGTGGCTGGAGCAGCATGTGGCTTGCTCACATCTTAGCCAACCAAGACACAGAGAGACTCCAGATGGAACTCAGGCCAGCTTATAACCACAAGCTCTAACCCCATAGCCCCATGTTAGCCAGCTATGCAACATGTCCCTAGACTGTGCCAAGAGCTGGAGACCAGATGTTCAAATACATAAGCCTCTGGGGACATTTCACATCCAAACCATGACAGTGGAAGTAGAGAGGCAACAAGAGATGGCAGAGAGCTGAAACTGAAGGATAGAAGGCAGTAAGGAGCCCGAAACAGTCATCAGAAAGGTTTCAAAGAGCTATAGGGCTAAGGGTATCAGTTTCCACACTGGGCTATGACAGTGGCCAGTGTTAAAGACTAGGGAGGCTCAGCTGCCTTCCAGACCAACAACACAGCTGTAGCAGAGGCCTCTGCCAAAGGCTGAGGAATTCTGACACCTCCACTGGAGGCCACACAATGCTCTGGGTGCTTGTAATACTAAGGGTCTCAGTATTGGTGGCCTGAAGGAAGAATGTAACAATAGGGGGTGCCCACCTGCCTGTCATCCACTAGTTTCTGCTATAGGGGATGGTGAGACCGCCTTGCTTATTTATGATGTCTGGGTAGAGTGTAAGTGATGTTAATGCTCCAATTACTGGTTTTGTTTTGCGTTGTTGTTGTTGGTTTTTTGTTTTGTTTTGTTTTGTTGTTGTTGTTGGATTTTTTTGTTGTTGTTTTTGTTTGTTTCATTTTGTTTTTGTTTCTTCTGAGATGACCTCTTAGCTGACTGTGATGGTTAATATTTGCTGCCAGCTTGACTACATCTGGGATCAACTAACACTTAAGCTTCTGGGTCCTCTGTGGGGGTTTTTTGCCATCATAGTATTTGAAGCAGGAAGATCCACACTAAATCTAGGCCACACCTTCTGGTGGCAGCCCCGATCAAAGGACACAGAAAAAGGAACATTTGCTTTTTACCTGCTTGCCCTCACTCTCACAGACGACTCCATCTGTCGTGCTGCTGAGGCATTCCTTTGCTGGCTTTAGAACTAACTTTTGAAATTCATAGGTAGACTAAAGATAACCATCCCTCTAGGAATCCTCTAAGACTCCACACGTCATGGGCTGAACAGCCAACAGATTATTGTTCTTTGTATCAGGAGAAAGCCACTGTTGACAGCTACTCAGACCAGCTAGTTAACCACTCTAATGCATCCCCATCCAATGTGTCATTAATCTGTCTGTCTGTCTTTATTCCATCAGTTCTGTTCCTCCAGAGAACCAGAGAACTAATACAGCAGCCTAAGTGGGACTTGGGATTACTAGGTAGCCAAGAATGAGCTTGACCTCCATAACCTCCTGTTTCCACCTCCCAAGTGTTGAACTACAGCGCTCTACCATGCTGGCTTAATGGTTTGCTCTTTCTGTCTGCCTTTACCATGTGAGTTCCACAAGGGAGGGGCTTCATCATCTTTGGGCTCACAGCTCTAGCCCTAAAGTCTAGTACAGTGCCTGGCACATAGGAAAGTTGTGAAGTTTACTGAGTGATTTATCTGAGTCATAAGTCAGCAATGTGTACAGTACTGAAGCTGGGTGTCTTCACTTCTGCCCCTGCCAGAGTCCAGCTCCAGCAGGATTCAGGTCCCAAACAGGAGGTGGAAGTCAGTGGAGGGAAGGAGGAGACTGACATTATGAGGATGAATCCCAATGGCTGCCATTTTATACATTCTCATTCTTCAAAGCCCGCACAAAAATTCCCAAAGGAAAAGTCATAAGGGAATTCCCACAACATGTAGTCAGATTCATTAAAAACGGAGGTAAAAGGGAGCTGGAGAATTGCAATCCATAAAGTCGGAATGCTGGAACTTTGCCAAACAGCAATGGTGTCCATGGGGTCCATGCCATCCTCCATGCTGTCCACATCACCCTTCCATCCCTATATGACAGGTCGGGATCTCAAATCCTTTTCCTTCTTATCTTGTTTATCTAGAACAAATCAGGCAGGTAGCACACAGATAATATGTTTAGGAGCTTCCCCACTCCCCACTCCTGTCCAGGGCCTGTATGACCCATGTCATATTAGGACACAAGCTT